GGAAGGAGCGAGAAAGAGACTAAGTTTGGGGACATGTACAAGGCTTCTTAAGAAGCGTAGGCGCCAGATTTCATTGATGAATGAAGGGAAATTAGAAAGGGGGGGACTGGACTGGGTTTCAACAGGTGGGCTGCAGTTCGGGCAGTGGGTGGTAAACACTGATTTCAGTTGAGGCACCTCCTTCCCTTGAGAGTGCAAGGCTGGGATCTCAAAGTAGCCTGGTACAACATAGCTTGCTGATTATAAAAGCAAACTCTGAACCAAACTGCCTGGGTCCAAACCCTGTCTCCACCACTTGCTGACAGTGTGGCCTAGGTGGGTTTGTTGAACGTGTACATCACAGCTTTCTTGTAAAGATGAAGTTGCTTAATAAATGTAAAGCACTAAAACAGAACCTGACAAACACTAAGTGAATATGAGTGGTTACTCAATAAAATAATAAGGTAGGAAGGTGGTCGATTCACCAAGTATTTATTGTACACCTACTATGTTCCTTCCAGATGCTATGTTATCTGAAGTTTAATATGGAAGAGCCTGGCTTTGGAATCAGGCACAATTAAATTTCCATTTCAGCTGTGCCTTTAGCTATGAGCTGGGTGACCTTGGTCATGTCACCTAACCTCTCTGAGCTTCTGTTTTCTCATGTGCCAAATGGAGCCAATAATAGCACAGGTCTTCCCAGGGCTGTTGTTTGAAATAAATGAGATGATGTCTTTAAGGTGCTTAACATAATGTGTGGGCATGTAGAAGGGGGATTCATGAGTGGTAATATATAACCTCTGTGAGCTAGGACCTACATGTATTTGAGTTAAAAACTCAATTGCAAGTAGACAAAAACAGAAACACATCACCTGTACAAGTAAAAGACTAGAGAGGATTGAATTGGCGAGAGCTTCTGTGAAAAGAGCTGTGGTTTTTAGTTGACCACAAGTTACCTATGAGCCAACAGTGTGGTCTGGCTGCCCAAGACTATTGTAATTTTAGATGGCATTAGTAGAATGGTGAATTGAGATCCCAGAAAGTCTTACTGTACTATATGTTGGTCAGGTTGTAGCAGACGTACAGGACTGTCTTAGAAACTGTTTCTCAATGGACAAACTGTCATTGGCAAACTGTCCAGATGCAGTGACCCAGGTGAGGAGAGAATGGAAAACATCTTTTTGTGTGTGTGTGTGAGAGGATAAGAGTAAGATAGCCCAAGGAGGGAAACACTATGACAATATTTGAAACAGTTCTTTCTTTTAATGAAAACGTTGACAGAGCACATCCGGCATCCAATCTGTCAGCAAACCCTACTGTCTCTTTCTTCAAATTATAAAAATAATCCAACCGTTTCTCATCACTTCTTCTGCTACTGCCCTGATTTCTTGCCTGAATCATTGCAACAGTCTCCTAGCAGATCCCTCTGCTTCCCTCCTTGCCCTCGGTCTATTCTCCATGAAGAATCCTGTATGGTCCTTTTAAAATGGATGTCCAATCCAATCATGTCACTCTAGTGACTTCCTATCTCATTCAGAGTATAAGTAAAAGTCCTTGCCATGACCGACAAGGTCTTGTTTGGCCTGGTCCCCTTCACCTCTCTGACCTCATCTCCTTCTACTCTCCCCCTTGCTCCCTCTGCTCCGGCCACACGAAACCAAAAACCATTGAGTCAGTTCCGACTTATAGTCAACCCCTCCTTGGGTTTCTGAGGCCAGTCTTCCTTCTGAGGAGTGGTTGGTAGGTTTGTCTTCCTTCTGAGGAGTGGCTGGTGGGTTTGAACTGCCAGCCTTCTGGTTAGCAGTCAAATGCCTTAGGCACTATGCTACCAGACCTCCTTCCAGCCACACTGTTGTTGTTGTTGTTATTTGCCGGACTCATAGCGACCCCTCCTTGGGTTTCCGAGGCAGTATCACTATGGAAGTAGGATTTCCCAACCTTCCTTCTGAGGAGTGGCTGGTGGGTTTGAACTGCCAGCCTTCTGGTTAGCAGTCAAGTGCCTTAGGCACTGTGCTACCAGAGCTCCTTCCAGCCACACTAGCAGTTCCTAAACTAGTCATTCTCCTGTCTCAGGGCTTTTCCACTTGCTGTTCTCTCTGCCCAGGTCCCACTTCCCTTAGATATCTGCACAGCTTGTTCCTTCATGTCCTTCAGATCTTTACCTATATGTCACCTTCTCAATGAGGTCTTCCCACTGACCCTTTTAGAATTGCAACAGTCTCCTCTCCCAAAACACACATTTCCCTACCTTCTTTCTCTGCTTTATCTTAAAATCATTTATCACCATTTAATATTCTATTTAATTTACTTATTGAGTGTATTGTTTGTTTCCCACACTACAAAGGCAGGGATTTGTGTCTGTCTCACCACTGTATCCTCAGTGCCTAGAACAATGTCTAGAACATAGAAGGCAGTCACTAAAAGTAGAATAAATAGATATATAAAATGTGTAAAAGAGCTGCAGCTGCTCTGGTTCAATGTGGCGGAAGTGAGGTATTCATGAACTCTGCCCTCTCCAAAGCCTGGATTATTGAGAGTTACCTTTGAGATAGATTTGCAAACAAACCTTGGCCAAACCCTGAAAGCACCACGGAGTGAGATGTACTGACTCTGAGGATAACTCACATTTTCCAAACTTTGTAGGACAATTATGTGTAAGAAGTAGACTTCATCTGAGTCAGAACTAGAGCCAGGGAATATAAAGGAATTACACAAAGCAAATATGGGATCAATAGAACAATTTGAGCTTCTCCGATTGTCTTATGAAGTGGTAAGCTTTCATCCCTGGAGGTGTACAAAAAGAGGCTATGTACTTACCCATTAATTCTGCTATAAAGGGGATCCTGCACTAGGTGGGGAGATTTGACCAACTGACCTCAACAATCTTTGTCGCTCTGAGATGCTAGGGCCAAAGGTGTGTGAGTCCAAGGATCAGGGGTAAGAACTGGAGAGAGGATCTTTGACCCTTCTTCCTGGAGTCCCAGAGACAAATCCTCCTTTCACAGGTCCATTCCATCCTAATTGAAATTCCATTTCCCAGAATTTACCTGATGCTGGGCTGATGATTAGAGGCCAGCTAGAGGTAAAGGGACTGATTCCCATGGCAACCAGGTTGCAAAAACATACCATGTGGAGCATTGTCAGTAACAAGCTATGTTTGCATTATAAATAGATATTTAATTCATTGAGATAGTTGGTGACGACTTCTGCATTATAAATAGACATTTAATTCATTGAGATAGCTCTGACAGTGAGTAGGAAAGTTAAATCCCAAAGCCACTCTTTGTCTTTAAGTATTTCACCATTAGTTGACAACTACCTTTTCCTTTCTAAAACATGTAGAACTTGGCTTTCTAAGCCAAAGAACGCTACGTGTGAGTGTTTTCAGAAAGCCAACTAACAGTCCAGTGTCACAATATTGATCACTATTTGTTTCTCACTGAAAGATTTGTCATTAATTTTCCTTGATTGCGTGAATATCTCTACCTGAAGCTTTTTGACACAAGAGACCCCAGGTTCAATGTCTGGATTTCACAAGAATCTTTTTCTGTTGTGTTTGCCTCATCCTCTTGCTTTTCTAATGTGGAGCTTCTTTCCATTTCAGTCCTTGGCCCTCTGCTCTTATCTTCCCACTCCTCTTTCCCTTGTGAACACATAAAGCAATCAGGCTAACTTCCACAGCCTTAACACTAGCCTTGGCAATATATACTTTGAAACAGCCAATGATTGGAAAGCAAAATCAAACCTGTTCAAAAGACTTCTATCCTGAAACCAAGGACCAAGGACAGGCCTCCCTCCTGTGTTCAGAATGTACAGCCTGATTGAGTGTCAGGAAAGGAGAGTTTGAAGGCAGAGAGTGGAGTTCAATGGAAAGCAGCAATTAGGTTTGGCTACATTCAAATAAAAAAACAGTTCTGAAATGCAAGTTTTAGAATCACTATAAGAAATTAGTGTAAGCGACTGATATAATCTCATCAAACGGAAATTGGAGTGGGACTTTGTACTTCTACATTCCAAAGAGCTTAATACAAATTAGCCTATAGTACTCAAAGTGTTTCATTCTATAAGGATTAGGGGAAGTGGGATGCTTTTTTTTTTTTTAATTAAGTTGCTGAGTACATAAGCTTCCTAATGCCAGAATATAGGACTTTCTCTCTAAACTTTATTATAACTAGGGATAAATAACTCACTGTGTGTGGCAACCTTGTACCTTGCTCTTTTTAACAGTGTTAGCTTAAAATTAAATAGTGCAGAAGGCAAGGAACTTTGGTGTCAGGTTTGAAGAGGTTATAACCTCCTCTAGGATCCACAGTTCAAATCTTTTGAGACCTTGGACAGGTTCAAGGTAAGCCTCCCTCTCCAGTCCATCTTCCTTACTGTGTACAAATTCATAACTATGGAGCAAGAGGTATGATGATTGAAGGTGAAAGATAAGGGACGAGGAGGGTACATTTAAGGTCTGCTGCTCCACACCACCCACCTTACTTGCTTCCTCCTCACTCCCTGAAATCCCACCACTAGAGACCCATTCCTTTCAGAAAACAAGGATTTACTTAAGGGAAAACTATTCAGCTTTTAAGTGTCAGTGGATTTACACCCTGTAATTGCTAGGTAAATGCCACAAAACACAACAGTGCCAGTTTCAAAGTTTTGAAGAGGGATACTCCCGCTATTTTAAATCAGGGATACTGTGGACTTAGAAGTAATGTGGGGAATAGCATGTAACTTCAATGTTTGCCCTCAGGCTCAACTTGGAGAGAACATTGCTGCTCATTCATTCATTCATTCATTCAGTAATGAGATGGAAGTAAAACAGGGACTCTGTTCAGTGACCATGTCTCAAACCAAATGGGGAAACAGCTATTTTGGAGACCTCTCTCCTTCTCCCATCCTTGAGCTCCTTTCTTCGTACCACTAGCCCTGTACTCTCGTTTGTCCATGGAGATTGGCTACTATACACCATCCTTGCTAAGTTGTAAGTCGAGAACAGACCAATGGAAGACCATTGACATAGGTTTTGCAGTTAAATAGTGAATACTCTCTTTATTCAGAACACATTTTTAATAGAATTTCATGCACCAGTAAATAAGTACAGTGAGGAGTTACAGGATAGGGAACCTCTCTTCAGGAAACATCTCACCCTGGGAGAGCCCTCAACTTCCAGAATCCCTTTGACCCAACTCAGGTGATTAGAAGCCAAGGAGCAGTAGGTGGGGCTGTGTCCCAGGGAAACCAGTTGGATCTGTAGGTTTCTGAGGGTAAAAGAGAGGAGGGGAAAGTTCTTGTAAATGAGGAGGTTACTAGATTGGGACTGGCAGTTCCTCCGAGGTTCCCTGAGAGATTGATGAAGGAGAGTTGGTGGTAGTGCCTAGTTCTATTTCTTGGTTACACTCTTCAAGGGCTATGGACTGGTCTCTTCCATCTGTGTCTGAGTCCCTGTGTAGAGAAAAAGACATGACTAAGGGAAGATCCAGAACCATCAATCTGAAAGCAGTTGCACTGTGGGACTCAAATGCTAGGGGGAGCATTTGGACCACTGTGTTTTTCAGCAGCTCTGGGTTCACAGAAGGAGGCTGAGGTATGGCATTTACCTGGTTCGGAGTCGGGGCCACTTCTTCCACTCTATGGCTAGCACCACTCCCAAGGCTACGACAACCACCACAATCAGGGTACTTCGCACAATGTTACCCACAGTGCACTCCTGAGCAACAGGCCCTGTGGTGATAAAAGAGCAGAAACAAAGGCCATGGAGGTTAGCATATATATGTTCCCCCTTTAATTCTTGTTGCCCCCTTACTCTGGTCTCCACCATGAGAGAGCTCCACCATTTGGGAGCCATGCGTTGAGACTGCAGAGAGGGTGGTCAGTAGCAATGCTTATGCTGACACAGAAGCAACCCTCCTTTCCTTCTGGGGAAGGGCCCTTGAAAGCATCCTGCTCATTCTCTTTGAGTAAATGTGAGATCCCACTTCCTCATCACCCAAATGGGAGGGCTCTGACTCCAAAGCCCCTCCCTTCTGTGTGTTTGGGTTGTCTCTATGGGGACTGTTTCTGAGACCCAAGGTATGTTATGCCAGGTCCACGGAGGGATTATCCTCTCACCTGCAGCCCCCACCAGCTCCAGAGGATCACTAGGCTCTGACCAGATGTCAGGGTTGGCCTGGAGGCGGTAGCTGCAGCTGTAGTTTCCAATGCCTTTCCCTTCCACATTATTGATGACAAAGTCACCATCTTCTGAGAATTGCTGGGGTGCTTCTTCTTCATCACGTTCTAGGACAAATTCAACCCCTGCAAGAGGTCCTCGGCACTGAAGGGTGATATCCTTCCCTAGCTTGAACACAGTGCTGGGCCATGCTGACAGAGAGGGCTTTGGGGGCTTTTCTGCAACCAATCAGGATACAGAGTTAGAAGTAACCTTAAGCCTAGTCCTTTCCCCCATATAGCTAACTATTAAAAACTACAAAATCTAGATTCTTACCGATGTCCCCAGGACCTTACCAGTCACCCATATCTCCAGGGGGTTACTGTGATTGGAAGCTGCAAAGGGAGCAGAGTCCAAATAATAAACACAGCTATAGATTCCAGAATCTTCACCTCTCACCGCTGGCATCCAGAAGTCAGCCCTGTACCCGCTTGGCCTCTGTTGCTCTAAGGGCTGTTGAGCCCCCTCCTTCACCAGAACAAATGTTGAGTCTGGCAATTCCCCCTGGCACTGAAGAGTCAGGTTTTCTCCAGGAGCCACCATGGGACCAGGCTGGGCTAACAGGCTGGGCTTGGGGAGCAAGCCTGGAAGAAATGAACTACTAGTCAGAGAGTAGAGGCCCCTTTCTAGTGCATGATCCCTGAATTCTCTGTTTTGTAAATAGGAAAGCCTACTGTTTTGTCTTCTTTGAGATCTTTGAAAACCATCTCCCATGATCCAGGCAATGCCCTGTTGTCACACTTTAATCCCCACTCCAGAGCATCTTCCCTTTACCTGTGACTATGAGCTCCAGGGTGTTGCTAGGCTCTATCTTGATAGGGCTGGTCCAGTCAGGGTGGTAGCAGCAGCTGTAACAGCCAATGCTAGCCCCAGATACATTGGTGATGAGGAATGCTCCATCAGCGCTGGTGGATCCCCAGAGCTGCATTGAAGGGGCTTCTCCTTCCTTGTGCAGAATGTACCCTACTCCACGGACTGGGCCTCGGCACCAAAGAGTAACATTTTGCCCCATGGGCATCACAGAACTGGGCTCAGCATACAACCAGGGCTTGGGGAATGTGTCTAGGAAAAGGCCAAAGATGTAAAGTAGTGAGTAGGGAACATATCACACCCTGAATTAACCCTTTATCTTTCTCCTCTTGCATACAGCAGTTGCTCTCTGTGGCCTGAACTAGCTCTCCAGGAGGGATTATTCTCCTTAACCCCTACTCCAGTTGTTTGTATTCTAGCCCCAGATCTTGTCTGTCCTTACCAGTTACCCAAATCATAACGAGCATGCTGAGATGTGATCCCCTGTTTGACATGGTCGTCTCATAGTAGACACAGCTGTAGTTCCCAGAGTCCTCTGCTCCAACAGTGTGGAGGAGGAAGTCAGCTGAGTTCCCTGAGGCACTCTGGAACTGTAAGGGATCCTGAGTTCCCTCCTGCAAGAGGGCGAACCTCATACCCTGGAAGGCCCCTTGGCAACGCAGGGTCACATTCTTCCCAGGAAGCACCACAGGACCTGGCCGTGCCAGGAGAGTGGGTTTTGGGTAGAATTCTGAAATTAAAGAGACCACAACATGAACGCCCTCTATCCCCTCATGTTCTGCAAATAACAATACATGTTTATTGTTGAAAATACAGAGAAAACACAATTCTACCAGTTAAAGATAACTATTGTTTAGCTCTGGTAGCATAGTGGCTAAGACACTTGCCTGCTAACCAGACGGCTAGCGGTTCAAACCCACCAGCCACTCCTCAGAAGGAAGGTTGGGCAATCCTACTTCTGTAGTGGTACTGCCTCGGAAACCCAAGGAGGGGTCGCTATGAGTCGGGGCCGACTCGACGGCACATAACAACAACAACATAATTGTTTATATATTTTATACATTTATTTTCCATTTAGTTTCCTCTATATATGTCCACATGGATGCACTGAGAACTATTAACATAATTGAGATCCTATTGCACGCACAGTTGTGTACTCTGATTTTGTTCACTTTATATTCTAAATATTTTCCTATGATGTTAAACAGCCTTTGAAAACTAACATTTGTAATGGCTACATAATATGCAACTGACATTTCAAGGTCTTCTCCCTTTCTCTGAGGGCCACCCTGCCCACCAATCTCTGACAGCCCAGCTAAAGAGAAAGTGGACATTAAGCCTAAAACTGAAGGGCAAGCCACAAAAGGATTCCAGAAATAGGGCAACTGGAGCTTGGCTCTTGGGACTGGACACTCCCCATCTTTCTTCTTCACCCTGTGAATGGCTTGCCCCACTCCTTTGCCTCTTCTTGTAGTGATAACATAAGCATGTGGCTTGCGTGAATGGTTTACAATGTGTCAAGCACTGTCCTGAGCCTTTTCTGCCTGTCTTCTCATTCTACAAGGAGCGCATCTCTCTCTCCTTCTAGCAGCCCTCTACCCACTGGAAGGGTCAGCACTGCCTATACCTGGATACCCCTCCCCTTCTGACCTGTCACCACGAGCTCCACAGGGTCACTGGGCTCTGACCAGACAGCAAAGTCATAATAGCGGCAGGTGTAATTCCCTCCATCACCAATGCCCACAGAAACGATCATAAAGTGAGCTGCACTGGCCCCTGGACTTGCCCAAGACCCATCACTGGATGCGATTTCACTTCCATCTTTGTAAAGAATAAAGCTCATGTGCTGGTAAGGAGTCGAGCAATTGAAAGTCACTCGGGCGCCAAGGGTGACCACTGGGCTGGCCCATGTCTTGAAGAAAGGTTTAGGGTACATTTCTAGAAAGCAAAAACACAAACCAAAAATCAGGGGGGAAAAGCAAGCAAGCAAATATAAATATTGGTTCTAGAAAGAACTGTTCTGCTTTCTCTAGTATTTCACTAAAAGTAGTTGCACTAAAAATTGAGGTAACTCCACCTTGTAGGTGGACTTCTCACACAGGAACCCTTCGCCTCCCCTTTACATGCCCCTCCTCCCACCAACCATTCTTCACTGTTAGCAAGACAAGCAGAGGAGGCTAGCTGGAAGAGTACATGGTGACTGGGGCTCAGCTGGTTCTCCCAGCCTCAGTTTGCCCGTTTGGAGAAGAGGGGAAAATGGGACCTGCTCCACCTCCCTTGAAGATTTGCTGGATCGTTAAACGAGACAATTGATGTGAAAATAATTAGAAAAATTAAATCACCCTCCACAAACCCAAGCTATTAATAACAATTATGGCTATTAATATCATGCAGCCAGAGGCCCTGGCACTCCCAGCGCCACGCCTGCCTGGCTCTAAGATTGGACACAGGCTTCTAGGACCAGCAGCAAAGTTTGCTGTTGAGAGAGGAGCCTCTGATACTGAGCTTTACTGCCCTCCTCCTCCTGCACACACCCTTTTCAGCGCTACCTTTTATGACAAGCTCCAGGGGCTCACTGGGCTCAGACCACTTGAAGGGGCGCTTTTCAGTGTGAGTGCGGCAGCTATAATTGCCTTCGTCTTTATCCTCCATTCTTTGGATTGTAAAGAAGGCTTCTTTCCCAACGGCACCAAGTTGCTGGACAGGTTCCTGCTCTCCCTCCTTAAACAGAGCAAACCCCATGCCTGCCAGCCATCCTTTGCACTGGATTTGTAGTTCTCGGCCCCGGATTGGGGGGGGAGCCGAAATGACAGGCTTGGGGAGGATATCTGGAAAGGAAAATGGGGAGAAAGGGGAGTCAGAAGTTTGGAAGTGCCCAGATGGGACACTTGGAATCACTTTGTCAGTGAAAGAAGAAATCTGTCCTGGGCTGGGCCAGCCCGTGCCTCTTCCTGACAGTTTCCTCTCACTCTCTTCCCGGCCCTCTGCTCAGTCCTCCATTCAACCCCCTTCCTTTCTTTGTGCATTCCCTCACCCCCAAAGAACAGTGTTGGAGTCCAGGGTCACCGCGGCTCACTTCGGCTCACTCCGGGAGCACCCTGTGCCTTTTCTTACCTGTTCCCACCAGCTCAAGTGCCTCACTGGGCTCTGACACAGCCATCTCTTCCCAGGAATGGCAGTGGTAACTCCCGACATGGCTCTGGGTCAGGGCACCAAGGGGGAAGGCAGCCCGGACCAGCTCTGAGGCTGGGCGAGTTGCAATCCACCCGGTCCTGTCCTTCAGCAACACAAACTCCTTAGTTGAGCCAGAGGGGCTTCTGCACCAGAGGGTTAAGTTCTTCCACGGGGCCAGGGGGAAGTTGGTCTCTGCCCACAGCTCAGGCTTAGGGGTTGGCATGATTATTTCTAGAAACAGCAGAGTTAATGAAGCCACCCCCCCTCTTCCCTCCCATTCCCCCCTTTCCATGAAAATGTCTTTCTTGTCCTTGAACCCCCCTACTCAAATCACACAGCCTACCTCCTCTTTCAACCCCAATCCCAACAACCCCCTTCCTTATGCAGGTGCTGGAGAATGGGGAAGCTGATGTTTCAGCTAAGCCTCAGAAAAGTGCAGAAGCTTTTGGGAATTTTTGCAAGCAGAAAAGCCGAGTTGAAAGCTGAATTTTGCCAGTAGCTTTAGCAAGTGCCCCTTCCTGGCTGTCCTTCCTTCCCAACCAGTCACTCCCTGGCCACTGACACTGACACTCTGTAGTTATTTCGGATCTCCAGGGAGGAATGTCCCAGTTTGGAGCAGGAAAAACTCACCAGTCTCTTCTGTCAATACCCCATTGCACAGTCCTGCAAAAGAAACTGCTGCCAGGACTCTGTCCCCTCCCCCATGGAACTTCACCCCAGCCTTCTGCCCAGGCCCCTTCCCCACCCCCTTGGACTCACCACAGCAGAGAATGGCCGTGACTATGAAGAGCATGGTGACCCCTTGAGCTGTTCCCAGCAACCAGGCTTCTCTAGCGAGACCAGAAAAGAGATGAGAGGAGTTGCTGGGATTAGGGGGAGGGCGGAGAGAAGGGGGCGGCAATTTATGTCATTGGCTTACTCACCACCCAATAGGGATTGGATGTGGCCAGGATAATGGGATATAATCTTTTCTGACATCGATGACTTTTCCTTTTGAGGGCCTCACCACCTACAACCTTCTTGCTCTTTCAGGATCCACGTGCTCCCCGCCCCCTCCCCCCTCCCCAGCCTATATCATATGTCAGCTCCCCATGCCCCCTGATTAGGCTGTTGCTGAAATTGACATGTCAGATGTGAAAATGCTTTTGTGTTTCCAGCTCTCAGAACCCCTGGAGTGCAGCATGATCGGCAGCTCGGGGTGGTGGGTGTGGGGGTGGAGGGAGAATTTCTCCCTCATCAAATTTAAGTTTGGAAGCAGTTGTTATTGTGGCAGTATAGGTCCTCAGACCAACCTGCCTCACTTGCCTTTGTTATGGAAGGGTTGCCTAGGCAGCCGCTGTGAATTACTAGAGGGTTGTCAGTGCTGAGCTAAGCTTGTCAGAGAATGGGATCCCCCTCCCATCACCCAGGTTATGACTAGAAGTGTGCAGCAGCTTTGAGTTGTGGGTCCTGTAATATTAGATGATATTAAGCCAAAATCCATTTCACAATTTTTACTGAGAAAACACTGACCCTCCTTCCTGGTCAGGTAAACATGCTCTTCAAGCTGCTTTCTCCAAGATCTAATTTCTGACCTCATTCTTTGATGCAGTGGTCCTGGCCTGGGGTGAAGCACACGAAGCTACATTTTTCTTTTTTCTAAGTCCTGACTTGGACGTTACCTCAATGTGTTGTGGGAATCAGGGCATATTCTAGGAAGAATTAGAACCTGACCCCCACTGATACTTTTTGAAAACTCAAGAGGTGGTGGTTTCTGCAAAAAGCTTAGGTATGTCCTCTCCAGTGACCCAACTCTGTCCCTCATTGGAAAACACAGACACATATAATCATAGTCATCAACCATTGTGTATTGAATACTCCCAGACACGCAAAGGCTTATGGGTGGGGATACAGCCAAGAGGAAAGGATAGGGGGCAGAGGGCAAGGCATTCAGGAGCTGAAGCCCCCACCAGGCCAAGAGCTGTTATTTCTTTTCTCATTGCCCAGCACAGTAGGCTGAACAGAGAACATGGGGATCAAGAAAAGAGGGGCACGGCCCAAAGGACACCAAAGGATCAAAGGAAATGAATGGCAGGAGAATCTGTTTTCCTTGCCATGTTGTGGGTCAGAGGAAATAGCCCGATTCCCTGGCCCCATTCATTGCCTGATTACTTGCCTATCCAGGTTAGATCTTATTCCCAGAATGCTCTGCTCAGGTGGTTGGAGGCCAGAGAAAGGCAACTAGGATGGACCACAAGACTCGAGCCCTTGAGAACTAGGGGTTAAGGTGAAAAGTTGGGATAGGGGTTGGATAATAACCTGAGACACAGGACAACATGACTACTTATAAGAGAAAAAGTTCAAACCTCCCTCAGCCCTAGGGGGAGACATCAATCTGTGTGGGGTCAGGGTGATTTGGAGGCTATTTGGGCACTCTCCAGGGGTGGTCAGTGAATGAGGCTCTGATTACTTCTCCAGCCTCTGAGAATTACTCATTTCTCTACCCTTCGGCTCAGGTGCTGACTCCTCTGTGAGGTGCAAGAGAAACAGTTGGGGTGAGAATGTCTTGTCCCCTAATTCCAGAAGGTGGAAGATATGGAGTGTGCCCCTGTAGCTTTTATCACCTGGTGAATGTTCCATTCCTGAGACTCTGGGGAGCCTGGACTCAGCTAGGGTGAGGAAAAGGGGGTGGGGACAAGACAGTTACCTGATTCTCAGTCTCCGACATTTCCACCTTATCCACAGCACTACCAACAGCAAGGCAACAAGCTGCATGATTAGGGATAACCTGATAGCTTCATTCAGAATGTAATTCCAGATGAGATAGCCTGTGGCCAGAGAAGACCAGAAGCAGGGGACTTGATGGGAACAGGGGCAGGCGAATACATTCACGGCTTGGGGGAGGAGAAGCTGATTACTGAGAGTGCTTATATTGGGAAGGTGAGGCAGACGTGGCCTTCCTTTCCTTGAGGTAAGATCCTTAAAAACATCCTGCTCACTGTCTTTGACTGATTTTGAGACCCCACTTCACCACCCAGGGGAAGGATGCCCAGAACCAAGGGCCCTGAGCTACAAGTCCCTAGCTCTTCTTTCCATATCTCCCTAGAAATTGTTCAGGGATCCCAGGGAGATCATGGTCAAAGTCATGGAAGGGGTCCTTATGAAGAGCTGTATACTCACCTGATGGCCCCATCGGCTTCAGAGGCTCACTGTGATGTGACCAGATGTCAGGGCGTGCCTCTAGGCGATAGCTGCATCTGTAGGTTCCTATGCCTTTCCTTTCGATGTAACTGATGAGGAAGTCTCCATCCACCGAGAATTTTAGGGATGTTGCTCTTTCATCCCGTTCCAGGGAAAATTCAAGTACTGGATGAGGTACTTGGCACGGAAGGATGATGGCTCTTCCCAGCTTGAAGATGGTGCTGGGCCAAGCTGACAGGGTGGGTTTAGGAGGCTTATCTGGAACCAACCCAGAGACCAGAGTTAGAAGAAGTGATCTTGAACCCAATACCATTTCTTTCATCTAGTGTTTCTCAGCTCCCTATTTGGTCTTCTCTTCCTTGTCATTGTCCCTAAATCTGGCTTCCAAATTTGACTGTACATCAGAATCCCTTCGCCCACTCCTTGGTGCTCTAAGGACTCCTGAGTCCCTATCTTCAACCCAAAATACCTCAGACCTGTAAGCTGACCCTGGCCCTAAAGGAAAATACCTTTTCCAGAGGTCAAATGGGGCTGGGTCATGTTTAGAGGTAGGTGTTGAGGAACAGTCCTGAGAGAGAAGGTTTCTAAATTTTGTGGGGAAAGTCCTTCACCACACTCTTTGTGTGGTTTCTATGAGATCTTATCTCTGAGAGAGAACAGGGCCACTAGTTACTTCTTATCCAGTTAACTAGTTGCCATCAAGTTGATTCTTACTCATGATGACCCATGTGTCATTATAAAAATGAACAACAGTTGTTAGAACTTGCCTATAACCACAAGCTCCACAGTGTTGGATGCTGCCCTCCTAATGGAGCTCTTCCAGGTGAGGAGATAGTGGCAGCAATAGATGCCAGCATCACTGTAGGTCACATTGTTGAGGGAGAATGAATTATCACCATCAATGTTGGTGGCATCTAATTGTTGAAGTGGGTTGTCTTCTCCTTTCTTATAGAGTGCTAGCCCCACTCCATCCACTGGCCCTTGACACCACAGGCTCATATTCTGACCCATTTGAACCACAGGACTGGGCTGGGCAAGTAGCCAGGTCTTGGGGAAGGTGTCTAGGACAAGAAAGACCCAGAATAGAATGCTCTAATGGTCCAATTTCCCTCTCCCACTACTTAGGGTAATTTCCCTCCTCTCCGAAGTGCCTTCCACCAGTTTTCCCTTGGAAAATCCTTGCTTAAGCCCAGATGGACACGGTCTGTACCCTTTCCCACTTTAGTCCTGTCTGCGTGTTAGATTTTCTAGGGGGCCCAGAGGGAGTTTTATATCCTTAGCCTCTAAGATAAGTCCCATGATATCATCCTTTCTTACCGGTTACCCAGATTTTCAGGATATCACTAAGGAGTGAACCCCTATGTGACCCATCATAGTAAAAGCAGAGGTAATGTCCAGCATCGGTGATGTTCAAAGCCCGGAAGAAGAAATATGCCTCATTTTTCATTGGCTTCTTGCGGTAAAAAGACTTCTCCGAGTCTTCAAGCCTCATCAAAGCAAAGGTCATTCCATAGATTGGCCCCTGGCATCTGAGATTCAGGCTTTCTCCAGGTGCTAGAATGAGCCCGGGATAGGCTGTCAGAGTTGGCTTGGGGTAGAGTCCTAGAAAGGGAAGAGACCTTGAAGTTAAAGATAGGATAATTCTTTCCTATTAGCTTTCACATTTATTTTCCTAGTCTCTTTGGAGGAGCTCTGGTAGTGTAGTGCCTAAGGCACTTGACTGCTAACCAGAAGGCTGGCGGTTCAAACCCACCAGCTACTCCTCAGAAGGAAGATGGGGCAATCTACTTCTGCAGTGATACTGCCTCGAAAACCCAAGGAGGGGTCACTATGAGTCAGGTCCGACTTGACGGCACATAACAACAACAACAAGAAGTCTCTTGGACAGGGAAGTTTTACCCTCCCCTCCCTTTCCCATCCTTGGATCCCTACTTCCCTTGGGTATAATCAAGGGTTGGTCCCACTTATATGCCTGCCCTTTCACCTCAAACTCAGTTCTACTGAGCTATAGCTATGTGCAGGGGTGTGTCTCAGTAGAGTATCAGTAGCTATAATTCCCTGCATCTTCAGGTCCCCAGAACACCAAATGTCCTCCCAACCATCTAAGAAACCAAACCTCTGAAAAATGACTTTGACTCCATCTTTTGTGGAGTACGAATACTACTACAGTATTAAACATGACTGTTGAGCATGTTAAGTCCACATAACACCCTACTTTCAATATGGGATTAGAGGAAGCCAATAAGGAGGGTCTGCAAGTCATCAAAATTTCTGTTAATGGGGCCACAGCCCGATTTCCATGGCTTGTCCTCCAAGGAGTCTGTGCTACAAAACAGAGGACAAATCTCACACTCATACCACCCTTCTTACCCCCAACCCAAAACCCAAGCCCACGCAGACTCATTCATCCATTATGGAAGATCAGCTCCACAATCTGCTCACTGAGCATTTAGGGTGTGTCAGGCATCATGTAGGAGGGAAAAAAAAGAAGAAAAAAAGACAAAGTTCCTGCCAGCAAAAAGATCATGGCCTAGTGGGGGATACTGGTGAACAGGTAACTATAGAGATATGTCTTAGTGGAATCTGTGCTGGAAGGGCAGAGGCACAGTAGACATTCATATACACAGTTCACACACAATCCTTTGCTCTTTGGTCCTCAATAAAACATTGTACTAATAGAATTAATAGCTACCATTTATTGATATGCCAGGCGCTGTACATATATCATATTTAGGGAATTCCTCACACTAGCCTTCTGAGATAGGCATTATTATTATTATACCCATTTTGCAGATTAGAAAAGTGAGGCATAGAGAGGCACAGAGAGGAACTTGGGTAGATAATGTAATCCCATTTTAGAGTTGAAAAACCAAAGTATAGAGAGGTGAAGTGCCTTTTTCAAGATCACACAGGAAGGCAGTGTCAGAAGTGGAACTAGAAACCAGGACTAGTGCTTTTAAGTCCAGGGCACTTTCTGTAGCACCATAGCTGGCCTAAGCCTATTTAACCTGGTGGAGAGATTAAAGCAGATGTAGCCACTTCCACCTAGAAGCATCCAGGCCATGGGGTGAGGGAGATGGAACTGGAGTGTGTGTGTGGCACTAGGGACATTTTGAGAAGCCTTTTGCTGTGTTTAGAGATTGGTACCGCCTTAATGGATCTATCAATACAGGACTAAAGTAATCTATAAAGCCATTTGTAAAATATGAACTACCACTTTCCTTGTCCTTGTTTTTTGTTTTTGTCACTAGCACTATCAATTGGTTCTGTTTTCGACACTTAAAAATAATAATCATAAATAAAATAAAACTATAATTAAAACTATCATTTTATAAGACGGCAGTGGCAGTGCCTGACACATATTAGCTGCTCAATAAATATTAGTTGAATGAATGAATGCATGATTTTCCACAAGCAGAGAACAAAAAAGCTGGGATGAGCTGAAGCTGCTAGACAGTTGTCTGGGCCCATTCACTAGCCAGCTGATTGGATCCTATGACCTGATTTGCAGCATGTGTGATTCTAACTTGCATCGCAGTAAAAGTTAAATGACTCTAGCTCATGGACCTTGTCTGAAGAAAATGAAATCAGAAACCCTGGCTCACCCAGCTATGATCCCTGGGACGACGACTGCCAGACCCCAGCAGCCATGGCCACACCCACCTGCTGTAACCAGCTTCAGGGGGTTGCCGGGCTCTGACCACAGGGTGGGGAGCATCTGGATATGAGTGTGCCACATGGAAACCCCTTCATTCTCAGGTGTCATGTTGTCAATGGAGAATGTGGCCGCTGTCCCAGTTAAGACTTGGTAATCCACAGGGTCAGCATATCCCTCTTTAAACAGCATGAATACCCAATCCTGCAGCCATCCATGGCAAAGTGTGTGAACATTACATGCAGGAAGAGTGGAGCTCTCGGCCTGCATCCAGAAGATGGACTTGGGAAATTGGCCTGGAAGGAAAGAATGGACTGGAATTGATGTAGAGCAAGGAGAGTGCTGTGCAAGGAGTAGACGAGAGCTCGACTTTAAATAAAGCTTCTCTGTATGATCCTTCTTGGCCAACAACCCCCCTCCTTCCCCCATCTCTAGGCCTCCCCTTTGTTGAGAGCTTTCCATCTCGATCTGCTCCTGACACTGTCTCCACCATGTACTGCCTAATACAGACTAGGTACTTATTTAATAACAGTGGAATGCATGCATGCATATACTCAAAGTAAATGAATGAATGAAGCAAACCCCGCCCTAGGATGACAAGTTTGAGTCCTAGGAGCTGGAGTTTATTCTTGAGTATCTATCTCTTCTTACCTGGTGCCTCTAACGCTAAAATTTTACCAACCAGCCCATCTCTTGCCAGTAGCAGCACCTGTAAAGACTTGTATTGGACTCAGTAAAGGCACCTATGGAGAATGGAACTTGGAAGGTCTTACGGGTAGGTCGCACCCAGGCCATCTGTGTCTTATCCTTCAGCAGCTGGAACCTGCTAGATATCCCAGAGGGAATTCTGCACCACAGTGTGATGTTCTCCCAAGGGGCCTGGGTCTCTATCCACAGCTCCAGTTGAGATTCCATCACTGTCATTTCCAAAGACCACAAAGATGTGAGCAGTCCAACCTTCCCCCTCCCATAACGTGTTTTCCCTATGCTCCTTACAATTGACCCCAACTCAGATCCCTCTTTTTACCTCCCCGTGGGTATAGGAGTGTCTGCTTATCTGGGGGATGGGATAGGGACCCCAGGATGTTTGTTCAAGGAATCCAGGTGAGCTGAGGAATAAAGGGCATGTCTGGTTGCCTTTACATCTAAGATAAAGCTCTTAACTATTCTATGGTAAACCAAGGACTCTGATTCCCAATCAGCTCAATCTGGGAATTTTCTCTGGGATCTCAAGGCCATAATGCCCTGGATCATGGAGGCAGGATGATGCCTTGGAGCCTGCAGGGAGGAAGATACCTGAGGTAGTAGAACTCACT